TCTTTTATATTAAAAAAATAAGCTGTAACCCACGTGTATATGTTTACATTATATATATATGAGGAAGTCAGTCTAAAATTCCAGGAGTCGGAGTCAGTCATTTTCCCTACCGACTCTACAGCCCTGCTGCTGAGAAACATTTTCCTCAATAGAGGCTAAAAATTAAAAAACCAGGAAATTCAGTAATTTAGCGGAAGATGTGATGAAAAACCAATAAATTCAATGTGATATATACTACACATTTCTACTTACTTAACTTTACTAAGCAGAAATAAAGCAGAAATATTGTATTATGATACACAATTATAATTAACAATAAAGCATGCTAAATACAGTCAAAAGTCGTTAATCCGGACTCGTCGGGACTTCCGTGATTCCGAATTATAAATCATCAGTTTAAATCTGGTAAGATGGCATGCAGAAATTATAAAATTAAAAATGCAAAATATGAAACTGTAATTTATGAAATAAAGAACATTATGATCTAAAGGGTATCAAAATTTACAAAAAAAAAGCTTATATTTATTGTTTACCTTTCTCCTATCAGAAGCAATTTAATGACGAGGAATTTGATTTAAATCATATCAAAGACGAGTACATCGAGATGAAATACTACATTTAGTAAGGAATTATAAGCCAAATAAATAAAACATCTGCCCTGAAGATAGGATAGTGCGACATATCAACTTCCAATTCATTGCGCGCGAGAGCAGCGTGAAATTGATAACATTTCGGAAGGTTAGATAAACAAAGGATATGCTTTATCCATTTTTTTGCAGCAATTCCACTTTTTGTTTAAATGGACTTCACATACTTTCGCTTTGTAGATCCTTTACTACTAGTAATCTATCGGAATCAAGCTGCGAAAGTTCAGTTTTACTTTTAAAATTGCTCTAACAGTCGCAAAAATAAGCCGGATCCATTCGAAAATTAAGGACAACGCAATCTGCAACATTAACGAATTAGATAATTTAGATAGCTCTATGTCTGTTATACCATTAAACGCAAATGCGGTAAAGTATTTGAGATTGCACAAGCATATTCCCAGCGTAAACTTCTCCACCGTCAATCCGAGAATGCGCAGAAGTTTTGTAGCTTGAGGTCCGGCTTAGGGGGTCTGATTAATGACTTTTGACTGTATATTTTATTTTGAATTTGTTTATATGAAATGTACACAATTCCAATATAAATAGACACAATTGTAATTGTCTTTTTTTTCTTAAGATCACTGGCGTTTTCTTACTTTATATAAAACAAAAAGTAAAATCAAAACAAGATAGACTTTATTTATTATAATTAAAATTTATTGAAAATGCCCATTAAAATCTCACAAAATTAGTTTAATTATATTACTATTAAACATATACTAAGACACTTTAATTGATTCTTAGTAAACAGCTGAATTAGCCTTAAAATATTACCATGAACAATTTAATAAAAGAATTATAAAGTCACTTGATCACATTCCACAAACTTACATTTCCAAGAGCTAGAAGTCCTTTATCAAATATGAAAAGGACACCCAAGAACAGGAAGAATACCCCAAATCCTGTGAGGCCTATTCCTATTTCTGCAAACGAAATCAGGAATTAGTATACAAATAAATTAATAGTTTATAAAATTTTCAATTTCTATATTTTTTAATCTCACCTGCCAGAAATTCTTCATTGATTTTAATTTCATTAATATTTTATAATAAAAACTATCAACATATAATGAGCAGATTAACAAAAGTGGAGAAGAAAAAAAAAAAAAAAAAGTTTTTGAAAATTAGTTCTCAAGACTTTTAGCAATGTACAAGGCAAACAAAAAATGTTCTTACCATTTATAATTGTCAAAAATACACTGCACGGTATTCATTCAGCATTAGGTTTTAAAGCAATCTCTATCAGCATCCAGCACCTTTTGCTAATATTATTGCAACTGTGCAATGCTACAGCAATAAAAGTTGGGGGGGGGGCTTGGCCTCATCATCACTAGATTTCCCAGAGAGATGATTGTTCAGGATATGAGACAGGTGGTAATTTACAGACACTAGGCATCTCTCACCAAAATAACTGAATGTTATCCCCCGTTGGTCTCACACTGTCATGGAGGTACAGCACATCCTTATAATTAAGCAACACTGGCTTCTTCGACAGCAATAATGCATGTTATACCCATTGCAATTACTGCAAGTGTGAAATTCTGTGATGGTGTCACTAGGTGATACTAGCTCGCAATGCACTTCTTGGTGACTAGTCCACTATACATATAGCATGATCTTGTATGGGTGCAGGAGTAATTTTGAGGTATGAGGCACATGGCAATAACCAGTGTCTGGAACACATGGAAGCCCCATAGGGACCCATTTTTACACTTCACGAGCTTTTGAGGGTTTGAAGATATCAAAAACAAACAGGGTGTCACCTAATATTGTTATAGGCTATTGACTATGTCTGGGATAGTCACATGTTCAACTTGTACACCTCTGAGGCAGGTGAAATCTGGAAGCACTCAGCAAGATCACAACACATTTCACTGCTGTTTTTGCCTTCACAACCTCAACACAAGCTGCTGACAGGCCCACCTTAGAGTTATACAGCAAACAACAACAAACGGATTGCTATGATAAATCTATTTCTGTTTCATACTGCATAAACTGTAATTAATGTGTGTGTGCTTTGCGCCTGTATTAGAGCAGATCAGTAGTTACATTAACCTTTCATTGCTTTTTCTGGTGCAAGTCATTTCCTCTCTGTCAGCACTTCATCAAACAGGATGTCAAGAAGTGGAAAGAACTTTTCAGTTTATATCTAGTATCTTTATACGAGGGCCATCCAGGAAGTAGATTACGTTTCCGTCTGTGTCCGCTAGGGGCGGGGCTAGCGCGGCCATCTTGGGGTCAGAGCGTTGCGCAGCTCAGTCTGCATCTAGCGTGCTAGTGAAGGTTCGTGTGTGCCCGTCAGATATGTGCGGTTGAAATTCTGCGTTATTGAAAATCCCGCGAGCTGCTCAAAATAAGGGGTCTGACTGCAAAAACTGTAAACCGATAGAAATCTATCGGCGCTTCGTGAATGTATGGGAAAATTATCACTGAAGTGGAGTGCGTCATAGTCATAAGATTCAAAATGGCCGGAACCAATGTTTCACTAGAAGATCGAAGTGGAGACCAGCATAGTGACGCCGAACTTCTCGCTAAAGTCCGAAAATCGAAAATTTCACAATAACGGAACTTTCTTTGAGGTTTTCCACAATTTCGCGAAGTTTGTTGCACAAATCATCAGCAAAAGCTTGGTTACCACAAGTTTTGTGCAGATGGTTCCCAAAATCTTACAGAGGCCCACAAAATCAGCGAATGCTGCAGCGTTGAACTTTTTGGACGCTTACCATAAGGATGTGACTCTTAACTCGATCGCATCGTTACTGGGGCAAACATGGGTGAAACAGGTGAACTGTGAACGAAATTGCAATCATGCAGTGGGGGGCCACCAGTTTCCCCAAAACCCAAGAAATGCATGCAACAATGTCGGCAAGGAGATGAGGCACGTTTTTGGGACAGAAAGGTGTAATTTGGTGGACTTCCTGGAAAGAGGCACTAAAAACTCTCAAAGGTATTGCCAAATCTCCAAAACTCAGAAGAGCAATCAAACAAGGCGAGAAGGAATGTTGAGCTCTAGATCTTGTTGATTCACGACAACGCCGGCCCCACACGGCAAAGTCACCGTAAAAGTTCTTGAATCTTTTAAGTGGAGTTGTTTCCTCATCCGCCGTACAGTCCCGCCCGGCACCGAGCGACTTCACCTATTCCCAGCAATGAAGAGGGCTGCTATGCAGCGTTTTGGATGACGACACAGCTGCAGAAGAGGTACGAAGGTTGAAGACGCAGGCGGCCGAATTTTTCGACGAAGGAATTTCCAAGCTCGTACATCGCTACGATAAAGGCCTAAATTTTGTATGGTGACATGTAGAAAGTGTATTTGAGTGTGGCTTTCTCTGTATATAATAAAATTTTTCCTATAACTTTTTTTTTTTTATTCCAACGTATTTCTGGATAGCCCTCGTACAAGTAAGAAACTGCTGCATAATACATTTTACAGAAATTATGGACAAATCCTTCGTAACTTAATAAGAACATTACCCAAAGTGAACCACACGTAACAACCCAAACTACACTCGTAAAAATAGGATACAAATAACCAAGCTTATACAGGAATTGAACTGGCATAATCAGCCTGTACTAACCACAAAAATCCCAATAACAAACCTTGTTTTGGAGCTTATTCATAGCTAATAAGTAAACAGATTTTAATATACCTGACATATCAAGTTTTTCCATATAAAAGAGAATATTCCAATGAAATTAAATGTACTACATTGACTTATAACTAAAAATTGCTAAAATAATTCTACTGATGAAATAATAAGAAAACATTCAGATGAAATTAAATGTACTACATTGAATTGTAACTACAAATTGCTAAAATAATTCTGTTGCTTAACTGTTCTACAATAAGCAGGGTAATTTATTGTGGAGAGATCTTTCTGAAATAAATTGCATAAACAAAATTAGCTAAACTTTTTTATACAGATAAAGACAACTGGGTTGTTGTTTCATTTATGGTAGCCTGAGTAGTTGAATGTTATGGAACCCTATTATGACGTATCGGTGGCATGATTCTGGGAAATTTTGAATCTGGGAGTTTTGTAAGCATTTTAGTGGTTGTGTGTTAAAACCGTTTAGATGGTTTTGTAGAAGAAAGGTTCAAATGGTCCTATGTGAAGCATTCGATAGAAAGAGTACTGGTTTGAAAAAGTCATTTGAGTACGATGATATTTGATTTTTTTTACGTGGCTCTGGGTGTATGAAGCGAATTCGAAAATCATGGTAAGTGAATGTTTGCTTTTGGTAGTGCTTAAACGTATAACATATAAACAAGTGAAAATAGGTCGACATGTACATGGATAAAGTTAAAAGAGTGCGCAATGCCATTTTTGTGCAATTCAGGGATTTTTTTTTAAAGTGAAAATAAGTCGATATGTACATGGATACCAATTTTGTGCAATTCTTTGACTCGTTATTTTGTCTTGCGAAGCGGCGATTTTTGCCGCAAAAATCGCCGCTTCGCAAGACAAAATAACGAGTCAAAGAATTGCACAAAATTGGTATCCATGTACCGCCAAAAATCGCCAAGGTGTACCCTAAACTATATTTTTACCAACAACTGGATTCAAGGGTCATCTGCTTTAAGAGGCATATTTTGGTGTAGGACTTAATAAGATACTGATATAGTATGCAAGCTACATCTTTTAAGAATTGCAAACCACCAAAAGCACTTTGTTGGTATGGCAAACAGTACTAATACTGAAACAAGTGATTCATGCTGCAGGATTTTAAATTCTACACAACATGCTGGGTACACCACTACAAATACTTCCATATTATCTTACAGAACAATGGCAGAGCTTTGTTAATCAAAGACTACTTTTTGGCCATGCTCTGCACACTCACAGAGTATACCGGAGAACATCTCATAAAAAGAGCTCTTTAAATGGCCACTCCTGCTTTTGTTTTGTAAAACTGCACGCAATTTAAATATAATGGAATTAAAAATTTAATACTTATTAAAATAATTAATTGAATTATCTATATGTATGTATTAATCATTTGTATTTATTTCAATATTTGAAAACAGCATTTTTGTGATATCATCTAATAAATAACCAATTAAAGCGGTAAACTGCATAATACATCAATATCCTGAATTAATTCTATTCACATCACATACAGGAAAAATCCATACAATTAATCAATTCAACCGGTGTTGGTTTTTAGTAGTCTCATCCACCTGGCCACTGGCAAAACTTACAAGAATGAAAGTTAAAACATTATATCAAGTCCAGGATGAAAATAACATATTTCAAACGCTTTTACCTGATAACTACACTGGACATCAGACTTCAACCGAGTCCACAGAATTTTATAAAAAACACCACCTTTAAAACATTTTATTCGTGAGGTCATATACCTAATTAACAGCTAAAATTAAAGCAGTCCAAAAAAGAAGTTCCTGAAACATGGAATTTTACATTCTAATACAATACAGAACTCACAAGAATTGAGAAAAGTATTCTGTTATTAAAATACATAAAATACCCAAGAAAATTTCTGATCTTATTTACACATTTAAGAAAAATGAAGACATTGAAATTCGCGTCATTATATCAGATAAAAATAATAATTTTCTGTGATAATTCTAAAAAATAATTTAAATTAGCCGGCATATTAATACTTTTCCCGCGATATTGTTTTCCAAATATATTTAAAACACATGTTCATATGATTAGATCCTTACTTTGAAAATCAGTGATTTCGAACATTTTAGGAATGTTCAAATATAAATAAACAATGCAATTTACAAATGCTTAGTCCTTAAGTTATTCATTTAAACAATGTAAACAAATCCTCCACGTCATCCACTCGCACACCACCAACACACACTTACAAATCGACCGCCATGTTGAAAAGATCATTTGTTGCAATACGCAGCTTGGCGCCAAAGAACTTCTTTTATTGGCCGGCCATGTTCCATGATTTCTCATGACTTCTCCTCCCCATCAGATGTTACTATTTGCTTTTTTTGAATGCTATTTTTTCGTCTAGAAAAGATGGATACTTTTCGTTAATGCTGAGTTAAGATCAAAAATTAAATAATAACAAATCTCCAGAAGATTTTTATAAACTGACATAGGACCACGCATTAATATTTGATTTAACAAAACTCTTACTAGATTTTTAGCAATCACTAGTGAAAATACAGCTTCCCTTAAGAGACTTTTATGATAAGAGGGCGTGGTAAAAATATATTTCAGGGCGTCCCTTGGCGAGAATTGGCGATTGGCTAGCAAGGCACAATTTAAAGATAACCGCTACACAAAACCAAAATAACAAGTCAAAAATTTGCATAAACTCGGTGTCTATGTACACATCGATCTATTTTTACTTTAAAAACATCAGATAATTGACCAAATTCGGCATTGTGCATTCCTTTGACTTTGTTCATGTACACATCGATCTATTTTCACTTAAAAAAAAATCAGGAGAATGATGAAGTCATAATGTTAAAACAATGTTATACTCATCACCAAAAGTGAACACAATTTGTAGCCAATCGAAGCTCAATAAACTGTATTTTAAATCACACAATGAAATAACATAAAAAGGGAAATATATATTATTGCATATACGCACTACAAAAAGGAAATATCGACCTACCATATTTAGAAATTTCTGTGTCTTCAGTCTGTGGCACACAAAATTCCTTAACAGCAGCCAAAAACTTTTTTAAGTGAATATACTGCCATCACCACATAAATTCGCAAAAAATATCCTCCGTAGTGCCGATGGCATTTCTTGCATGAACCTTTCTTGCGACAAACTTTTATTCAAAGCCATCTGAACGATGTTTACGTTCTACCATTGCGCATTTTCATCGTACAAATAGGACACTTATAATGACTACTAATTAAACCTTCATTTACACACCAGTCAATTAATGTTTTTTTTTTTTTTTTTTTCCCTTTCGTTCCAAATCATACAGAAACTTCAGATTAATCTCATAGCATATAGCCATTTCACGGTGTACAGCACAAAATAAGCAATGTACACTGCGGGGGGGGGGGGAGAGAAGAAAAGGAAAAAAAAAAAAAAAAAAAGACGACAGTTTTATATCTCCTGTTCTATTGGGCCGATTGACGAAATTCAAATTGTGTTTTTCATGTCTCGAAAGCGCTACATACGATATATTATATTTATATATAATATTGTTGTAACATAGGTATTTTGACACAAAGTCGGATTTTTCTGAAATGACATTGAAATTTTTTTCCATATTTCGATTCAACGGCTCAAATTATGCTTATATACTAAATTTTGTAAAATTTGGTGCGAAATTTAAGGAGAAATTAAAAAATTTTCCTTTGCGTATTTTTTTTTTTTTTTTAGTTTGCGTCAAGAATAATTCACTTAGCTAAATTCTTAATTTATAGCAGCCTATTTTCCTTTTCTTTTTTTCACTGATACACGAGCGGAAAAAAGGTCCATAGTTCCTTTTTCAAGTAATTTTAACAAATTGGATAAACCACATTTTCGTTATTATCGCTTATAATAAATACGCCAAATTCTGAATGCGCCAATGCATAAATTCACGTATAGCTTGTGAAATTTTGAATAAAAAACTCTAATTTTTTTGCAGGTGTGCTTAGAAATACATCTGTTTTAAGACGATGGCAAAATATTTAAAAATACAAATTTTTAAAATAAATCATAAAAAATAAATGAATTCTATTTGGAATGAACCTGAATTTCGAAATGTGAAAGGAAGAATCAAATAAGTTTAATAAAATAAGAAATATTAATAAATATATCTAATTCAATTAACATTGAGGAGCTAGAATTTTGAAAGTTAATATTTTAAAAACTACTCTGCGATTTTTACAAAATTTGGCAGTTTGGCATAATTTGAGTAGTAGAATCTAAATATGGAAAAACATTGGCATGTCATTTCAGAAAAAGGTCCGATTTTGTGTCAAAATACCGATATTAGAACAATGCTATACATAAATCTAATACATATCCTAAATCGCGCTTTCGAGGCATGGAAAACGCAATTTGAATTTCGTCAGTCGGCCCAGCAGAACGGGAGCTATAGAACTATGCCCCCTTTCTTTCCCGCAGTGTACTTCCTAACTGATATCCAACGCAGACTAAGCCCTTACAAATATTTTCCCATCATTTTCAAATTTAACTGAAATAAGGCAACCAATGACGTCATAATAGGGTTTCCTTAACATTCAACTACTCAGGTTACCATAAATGAAACAACAATTTGGCGGTAAATGAAACAACAACATGGGGATAATCCAAGGGCACCCTAAAATATAGACTATGTAATGTTTATTGCAGTGTTTTCTAAACTTTTTTCATCGGGGAACAACAGTTCTCAAATGTTTATGGAACACTAAAGTGAATTTGGCTTACATTAAATGATAACACAGATATAGTACATAAACAAAACATTCACTCCAATTCAGTTTTAAAGAAACTTTTTAAATTTTTAATGCTACAAAAAATTACTCTAAAACCAATTAAATTAATGCGAACAAATAATAAAAAAATAAATAATAGTTCATCCTTTTTAGCTCTTAGTGACGTCAAAGTGTTTGAGTTTTCAAGTGACAAATTATTTTACTAAGAAGTATAATGTTAGAAATCTGAATTCTTATGCCAGATGCAGCATTAGGTCGGTTTCTGGATTTGGATTTCCTTCTGCCTCATACAAATTTGCGTCAAGACGAAATAAAATATTACTAGATCGTTTTAATAAATTCGGATATTCTTTTGACAAACTTATTCAAAATTCCTTTAACTGTAGTTGTTGAAATTTTTGTGTTATGCTTAAGCAAACTGCCAAATTAATTTTTCGAAATCAGTTGCGTTCATATCTCAGCTCAGTCTCATCGTAAAAGCATTTCGAACCCGAAAATTTTCTTCCTGGCATGTGGGTAATACTCACCAAGAGTTACAAATCATGCAAATGTTGTAATATTTCTTTGTAAATTTTGCTACGAACTTTTCTTCATTTAAAAATTCACATATGATAGGAAAATAATCAAATTTTCGTTTTCCAGTGAAGAAATTCAGAACATCAACATCATCGTTTAAAAGACGCAATTTTATTCGTTAAATTAAAAACAGAAATGTTTCTTTCTTATAATGATAAATTTATTTTGCTACATTTAGTAAATATATCGGCTAAATAAATAGCACTCCTTAACTATGAAGGATCTGTTAAAAATTCCATGAAAGTGTGCTCGAAACAGTTTGAGGAAAAGAAAAGCAATAACTCGGTATCAGGGCCCATCCTAGCACAGGGCAAGATGGTGCACAGCATATGGGCGGCGAAATGATTATCAAACACATTATATTTCTGTAAAAAAGCGAGGGCAATTTTAATTTGCATGTCAACGGCCGAAGATCGTAGGATTGGCACCACTTGTTATGAGATTCATACAATCTTAGATAATGCTTTTCCTATGAATAAACGCCTTACTTTCATATGTAATAAAAGGGCAATATGTTAGCTACCTAGCTATATAGCATAAAATTTTAAATAATCTAGATTATAATGTTCGAGAGTTTGCATAATTTATCATTTATGCTAATGGTACTACGATCCTCTAACAAAATGCTTTTCTTCGTACAGTATTACAATCACTATAAAATCACATCCCTGTATTAGATATTTAGTTTGGGAATTGGAAAACTGAAACGTATGTGGACAAATCCACAGCAAAAGGAAAATTACGGACAATCTTAGCATACATGAAACCACACTGCCCCGTTCTATGCGAGTCATTTATCTCAGGTTGATCCTCAACAGTAATCTTCCATGGTTTTCCACATAATAGATTCTGTTATTCAGAAGTTCTTGCATACTCCCACCGTACCAATCGCAAATGATTACAAACGACTCAGAATTGCATCCTGACCAGATACATATCTGGCTGCCTATGGTACGTCAGAAATAATAAAATCGAGGAACGTGGAACTGGATAGTATCCAGTTACGTGCCTACTATCATTTTATGGCGTACAATGTTCATTTAAGCTTCAGGGTTAGGTTTAGGTTAGGTTATTTAATTACGGCAAAGCCTCGAGGGCTATCTGCCTAAGGGGAGGGATGCCTTCGTGGAGGACTTTCTAAGGGAAACTGGCTCGTATACACTTTAGCTTCAGGGAAAGTAAGACTTATGGCCATTGTCAATAACCTAATGCAGATGCTATCCCACTGATGTAACTTTTCGATGCTTATCTTGTAAGGATCTTAAGTTTTACTAACGTTTATTTTATTTTAAATCTTTACTATCACTTCTTATTTTCTACTTCCGGCCAGAATTATAAGCGTTAACTGATTTATGCAAAATTTGTCTGGCGAACGCCAAGTATTTAAGTTGTGGCTTTTTGCCAAGCGAGAGAGAGGAAGCAGTTAGTCGAAGCAGGCCGCTTACCTTAGAAGTTTTACTCAGTTGCTGGTTGCCTTCCAGGCCAGAGGTTTAATCCTCTTGATAATTTTAAACGTATTGTAGTGTTCACAGTTCTCTGTACTACATACGGCTTCCTGTTAATATAAGGCCAATCTTCCACGTTTATTATTTTAAAGTAGAGTTTATTTATATTTTTATATTTTTACGTTTAGACCACGAGTAGTGGGTCTTTGTATTCCGTAGTACGGAAATTATTGTAAATAGAGAAAAATAAAGGGTTTTGTATACCCTTCTTGTGTATCCTGTCTACTTCCCACAGTTATTGAACATAGCTTTAGTAAGCTCTCTGTTCCGAGTCAGGTCCTTGCATGTTCCCGAAGAAAGTAAGACGGAACATTGAACCTGATAATCTTTCTATGGGCCCTATTCATGGCATTTTTAACTACAGCTTTAAATGAGATTTAATGAATCATGTGAGACTCTGACGTCACAAGTCATTAAATCTCATGTCTTGGTATTCTCATGAAAGCAGTCATCAAATTCAATCTTCAAATTAGCAAGATGACTGCTGAATTAATGCTTTTCTCAGCAGCCGTCTTGCTAATTTGAAATCAGTTCTGAGCTTCGCATTAAACATATCGTAACATCCCGTTAATAAGAATAGGAGAAAGATTTGCGTTAGTTTTAGCTGAAGCTTATTTAGACGACATTAATCGAATTTCTCTGCATTGGAAACGAATTTTTCACAATCGAAGCAATGCACTTGATTTGCCCGATGGAAATTTAA